GCTCTTTTGGAGGAGTTTTCTACAGGCTGGCTTCAACCAGAGCCTCCCCAGGAATCCCAGGGGAAAGGACTGCTAGGCACCAGCGGTTTCCTGGAGAGTTACTGTTTCATTAGGTAGGGCAGGCTGGGATTCCCAAACCCTTACTTGCAGACCGAGCTGACACTGCGGTCACCCTCGGCCGGCTGGCGCCTCCTAGAGCCGAGCTCCAGGAGCAGCGGCCCCTGCTGGTCGCTTTTCCTGCAGCCTGGAAGGTTGTGAGGGCCTGCAGAGGAAAGCGCGCTTCTTCAGGGCTCTGATGCGTCTCTCCAACTTTTTTTGGTACCAGGAATCGAACTCAGGACCTTGTGCTTGCCAGGCAGGCACTGTGCCACTGAACCATCTCCCCGGCCCTCTCTCCAACTTTCTGTAGACTCTTCCTGTAGGAGTTTTCTAAGACCATTCTACTCTCTAAGTAGACTTTCACAAAAGGTCATGAGTCCTTTTAATTTGCAACACTGAATACAGCTTGAATGGGGTGGAAGAGGGACGGTTTTGGCAAAAGAGAGGGATTATTTTGTCTCTTGGCTGAGAGAGATGCCCCTCTGTTTCGAAAAGCCTTAAAGAGACTGAAAAACACAGATCTGTTTTCCCAAAGCACTTGCCCAATCCTCTTTTACAAAAGGGCAAGCATTAGCCCTGGTTGTGTGCACTAGGAGCTTAACACAGCTGTTTTACAGCCCCCTAACAATTTGCCTGTTAGCAAATCTTCCAAGCTGATTTGAGAAGAGGGCTGTGTCAGTCAGCTTTCTTTCCCCATGACAAAATACTTGAGAATAACTTAGAGGAGGAAAGATTGATTTGGGGCCCTGGTTTCAAAGGTTCCCATCCCAGTCAGCTGATTCCATTGTTTTCAGGTCTGAGTGGTTGCAGAAGCATCACAGCAGAGAAGCAAAAGGAAAGCTGCTTGCCTTGAGATAGAAACAGAGAGTTAAGAAGCAGAGAGGTAACTCCAGCACCTTGGGAGGCTGAGGGAGGAAGATCACAAGTTCAAGTCCTGCCTGGGCAAGTTAGTGAGATCCTATCTGAAAGAAAGAAAGAAAGAAAGAATGAAAGAAGAAAGAAAGAAAGAAAGAAAGAAAGAAAGAAAGAAAGACTTGAGATAGCTCACAAATAGAGTCCTTGGGTTTGATCCCTCTCCTGAAAAAAAAAAAAAGAGAAAGCCCAAGAGGAAGGGCATGGCCCACTACCTTCAACTGGGCCTTACCTCCTGAGTTTCCATTGCCACCCATCAAATTACTAAACCATCGATGGATTAATCCACTGAAGAAGGTAGACCCTCATCACCTAATCACCTTCTGCAAGCTCATCAGCTGGCAACCAAGCCCCACCACATAGCCGTTAGAGGACATCTTTCTTTCTTTCTTTGGTTTTTTGGAAACAAGATCTTGCTACGTAGTTCAGACTAGCCTTGATCTCACTATGTAGTCTAGCTTGGCCTCAAACTTGTGGTGATTCTCCTGCCTTAGCTTCTGGAGAGCTAGGATTACAGGCATGTGCCACCATGCCTGGCATGGAGGACATGTTAGGTCCAAACCTTCACAGGGGCTGAGGCAGGACTTGTATTTTTCAAAAATCCCCAAGCTTTTGTTACTAGCATAAGAGCAGGGTATAGCAGTCATTCCTCTGAAGGAAAGGGGTCCCTGTGGGGCGGAGGCTGTGTGTGTGTGTGAGTGTGTGTGTGTGTACACCTGTACGTGTGGTCAACTTGAGAGAGGACAGTGCTAGGAAAAGTCACCTGGGTGGCTAAACAGTGAAGTTAAATCGCTTTATCTGGGCAGAGGTCTCTGCAGTGATAACTGTCTCACAGTACCAATGTACTGAGATCAGCAAGACTCTTTGGATTTATTCAGTTGCCCTGGGGGTCAGGACACCAACAAACAAACAAACAAACACACTGCAAAGACAAACTCTTCTGCTTACTGGCAAGGCAAAAGACACGTAAAGTTTTTACAATTTCTCCTAGATATCAGGGTGGAGGTTGTGGGTTCCATAGAAACTGGCTACCACCATCTCAGGTCCCCCTGACACACACAAGATCATCCTCAAATCTGGTTTCCTAATATGCCCTAGAAATTGTTGTGTCTTAGTTACTTTTCTCATCACTGAGACACAGTAGCCAACACCTGCAAATTAAAGGAAGAGAGGTTTATTTTGGTTCACAGTTTGTAGACGTTTGAGTCCAGAGTCTGGAGGCTCCAAGGCAGGACAGCATGACAGAGGGACATGTCTGAAGAGAAATAGCCCATTGCAAGGCAGAGAGGGAGTAGCTCTTTATAAACTGCAAAGGTTTTTTCTTTCTGATTTTAGAAGTTTGTTGCAGAAAATTTGTAATATTCATCTTTGTCTCTTTAGGATAAATTGAAAGTTGTAGAATTAGTCAATGAGAGATCTACTTCAATTTACATTCCCACCCACTGCGATGGAATGCCTGCCCACCAACATTACATGTCTAGATCATGTTTTAATCTTTGCTAGATGGATTGACAAACATCAGTAGCTGAGGGCTGAAGATGTGGCTCTGTGGTTATGTTTGTGTGGCGTGAATGAGTTCCTGGTTCAAGCACTACAAGAAAAAATAAATCCATAGCTCACTTTAATTCACATTGTTTTTGGTTTGAGTAAGTCTCAATAGTTTTTCATATTTTCTCCCAAACTACCAGTTGAGTTGTGCTTTTGCTTTCTCTAAAGAAGATTAAGTCCTTTCTTTTTTTTTTTTTTTTTTTTCCTTTCTTTCTTATAAGAACTTGAGATAAGGAAGCCCTGGAAGACTAGGTAGGGAACTTGGACTGGGCATCATGTATAACTGGGTTACTGAGCGTTTGTATTTGTGCTTGTTTTAGATAGAATCTCTCTATGTAGCCCAGGGTAGTCCTGAACTTATTATGTAGCCCAGGCTGGGTTTAAACTTGTGAGCTTCCTCAGCTTCCTGAGTGCTGGGATTACAGTGTTCAACATCACAAAGGACTAGTTACAGCTTGTAAATGAAAGCTCTGGTGCTCACAGTATTCTCAAGGGTGCATTTCTACTTTTAAGTAGGGAGTATGTGGTAACTTGAAAAATGTCTGTGGTTTCAGATTTAGTAGCGTGATGTAATTTTTCTCAGGATAGCAGTGGGGGCCATTTGTATCCTAGGGGTCAACTCAGGGCCTGTCACATTGTCTGGGCAGATGCCTACAGATGGAGCAATTAAACTCTGCAGGCTCTGTCCTGCAGAACTGAAGGTTAACCTGTAACCTCAAATGAACTCTTAGTACCAAAAAACAAAAAACAAAAAAAACACCAAAAGCCCAAACTAAACCAAAAACCCAGAAACAAAATAGTATGTTTTCCAATTCTCTCACGTCTATTTATTAAGAGCTGTTTATTTTGTCTTGTTTTATCTTTGTGGTACTAGGGACTGAATCCAGGGCCTTGAGCATGTTAAGTGCTCCACTGCTGAGTACACACCTAATCATTTTTGTTTTTTGAGACAGGGTCTTGGAAGGTTGCCCAGACTGGCCTCAAACTTAGGGTCCTCCTGCTTCAGCCTTCTAAATATCTGGAATTACAGTCTGTAGCATCACATCTGGTTAGAGTTATTTTTAGTGTGGGTCTGAAACAGCCCCCCTGAATATCCAGGAAAGGAAATGTTTCAAATCCTGACTTAGAACTTCCGGAAAGGGTGAAGGGCTAGTGGCAGAATAAATATCATCAGGGCAGGTTTAACAGAAGCATTTTTACTGCAGGAGTGTCCTTGGGTACAAGTCAGCTGGCATGGCTCCCAGGATAAGCCAGTGTGTCTTCCTTCCAGAAGAACACATTCTCAGGACTCTGAGGGGCTTTTTCTGCTTGTCTTATTTTTCTGTGCCTTCAAGGAAGGATTCATTTGACTTACACAGGTAGAAGAGTTCTATTAAAATAATCATGGTTGGATTCTCACAATGTCTCTGAAGGGAGTATCTTAGAAGGGATGCAGTGAGTGTCTAATGTTCTGGTTCTCTGCCTTTACTGACCTACTAATTGCTAATGAATTGTGGCACTTGTTAGTGATGGGCCAATGTAACCAGGAGTTCAAGGCAGTGGTTGACCGGGAGCCAGTGAAGATTTTAGAGCAGGAACTTTAATTTTTACTTTATATGCTGTCAAAGGGAGCACAGGAACTTGAGTTTTTGAAGGTTCACTTTGGCTGCCCAGTAGAGGAAAGTTTGGTTAGGACCAAATGGAAGTTGACTGTAGGGAGGTCAGGTGAGGGATGAGGAATAGGATGGCTTAGGAAGTATTTAGGAGGCTGGGTTGACAGGATTGGACAGCTGACAAGAGAGTGATGGAGAGGGAGTTATCAAGGTGACTCCTAAGTTCCTCCCTATGTACTAGGGATTGAACTCAGGGCCTTTGCACTGTGCTACATCCCCAGCTCCCCTTTTTTATTTTTAATTTTGAGAAAGGATCTCATTAAATTGCTAAATTGCCCAGATTTGTGGTCAAATTTGCAGTCTTCCTTCTTCAGCTTCCCAGAATGCTGGGATTACAGGCATGTACACCCGGCTCCCCCGAGTCGTTTGATTTGGATCTCTGGTCAGATGGTGAGGCCATTCCGGTTAAGGGAATGGGAGGAAGAAGAGCAGGTTTGGCGGGAAAATTAGTCCAGGACATGTTATGATTGAGGTACCTACGGGACCTCAAAGGGTGTGGCATTTAGGAGAGGAGTCTGGAGTTGTCGACTTCAGAAATGGAGAGCCAGCCATAATGTATTTACAGTAAGGAACTAGAGAAGCCGCTCATTTTGGAGTGTGCAAGGTGTGGCAGTCAATTAGCCACGTGACTGCCTGGTCGGATGGCAAGGCACTCACGGTCAGAACCTGGGCGGTCCGGGTGGAGGGGGTTGTTGGCTCCGCCCAGTCCCGCCTCGTGAGTCCTCTTTTTTTCTTTATCCATTGGTCAATACCCCAGTCGGTCAAGGGACCGCCTCCACATATAAGCTAATCAGCGGTGATGGGAAGGCGCTTTCCTCTGCGGCTTGTTCTTCAATAGGGGCCTCGCTGGGGGAAGTGAGACGCTGGTGGCGGCAGCTGCTTCGCTGTGCGCAGCCGCGAAACTGAGGGTCCGACCTGTTAGCTGCGGTGCAAGCTGGTGAGAAGAGGGCGAGGGTCCAAGGTAAGGAACGAAACGAGCTGGGGGTGTGGATGCTACTTCCTCCGCCTGGCCTCCCTAGCGCGCGGCAGGGGCTCAGGTGATGGGGCGGAGATGAGCTGACGCGAGAGGGCGGGACAAGAGGGGCCCACGGTCTCTGTCACCCCACTGGCTCGCACGCGCCACGTGGGCGGAGGACTGGCGGAGGACTCGGCTGAGTACCGGGGAGCCTGCACAGTAGTTGCTTTAGTTTTGAACACCCGTGAGTTCGGCGTCCCTACGGAATTCCCGTCTTTTTCAACGTGGGAAGCTAAGGCTGGGAGACTCCAAGCCAGTGGCCCGGTAGCACCTGGCTGTGACGCGGCTGCCCCGGGGTCTGGGGAAAGTCGGGTTTAGCAGACCCTGGAGCTCAAGCGCTCATTTAGGAGGTTGTGGTCCAGAGTTTTGAAATTCAGACCTGTTTGTGTTTGGGTCCGGGCTGAGGTCGCGCCGCTAGGGGCTCCAGTGTCTAAACTCTCTGCGTCCCTGACCGACCTCTCCTGCCCCAAGCTCAGCGGAGAGGGGAGGGGACCGTCCTCGGTGCTGGGAGCTCTCGAGATCTCAGCGGACAGACTAGGGGAAGGGTAGGATTGATAAATATTAAAATTTGTGGGAAACGCCCTTCTTCCCAGGTTCCGGAGAGGGGCTAATTATAATAAGACAACTTTTCTTTCTTTTTTTGTCCAAGGAAAACTTCTACGAGAGGATAATGAAGGTACTAGGAAACTGTATCCTTCATGCCATGGTGGAAGCAGCTGTAAAGCTTTTGTAAATCAGTTTGGCAATACGAATCTACACTCTTTAACCTACAAATTTCTCATTTGGGAAATACATAGGTTAAAATCTAAGCAAGGAAATGTTGTTGGACAAGACCATGCAGTTTGGTGTTTTATAAAGAGCTGGTTAGGGGAAAGAACCTTTAAATCCCCAGCAATAGAGAACAGATGAGTAAATTGCGATCGTTTATGCAGAAAATGATATGTTACATATCCTATAAATGTATTTATCACCCCCCAAAGCTGTTAACAGGAAAGCCAGATTCAAAGTTGTAGGTATAATATAAAAATATATAAAGAATGGGTATACATATAATGACTTTTTTTTTTTTAGCAGAAAGATCATATTTTATTAAATCCTCACAAAGCCTTCTAAGACTGGTATTATTTCCATCCCACCAGTGCATAGCTGGAGTTCAGACTGGTGCAGCAGTGCATATGGTAGACAGCTAGTGTCACACTTAGTGTGCTACTGGACATCTAAAAGTGTCACATTTGGCCAGTGTTTGACAGGTACACAATTTAGCCCTATTGTTTGCCAGGTACAGGAGTGGACACTGAAGAGTTGTTGGGAAGGAAACTACAGTTCCTAAATTCACAGAGCTTGTGGGCTAGTGGAGAGTCAGGTGAATATTTGTAGTCTGCTTGAGAGACTGTGAACCTGGGAGGTAGGCTCTCATAAGAGAAAAGACTTTGGAGAGGTCCTGGGTCAGCTAGACAGAAAGTATGAAGCCCTCAGTGGCTCTGTAAGAGGAGAGTAGATACACATGATTTCCAAAATTTCTGGAATGTATTTATGTGATATAGTGAGGAACAAGGCTACTTACATTTTAAGTGTACTCAATTTTTCTAAATTGTTTATATCACTTTTGTTCCAGATATTAGCAAATGTTTCAGAAATCAGTATTTTTAAGAAATTAAATTTTGAAGCTTTCTTAAACTCTTTAATTTTCAGGTTTAACAAATCCCCACTTGCTGACATAGTTTCAGAATGTCAAGTACTGTGTCCTACTGGATCTTAACTTCTGCAAGGAGCTGCATTGCCACGTTACAAGGTGGCAGACACTTATACTCAAGGTGTGTCTCAAAAAGGAATCAATCCAAATGGAGGCTCCTTTCCTGGGCATCACCTGCCCTACAAAACAGTTCACCATGTGGTGCCTTCACTCTGCAGAAAGCCTACAGACACACACCAACAGAGGAAGAGGATTTCCACCTGCAGCTCAGCCCTGAGCAGGTCAATGAAGTGCTTCGAGCTGGTGAATCAGCCCACAAAATTCTTGACTTGGACAACAGAGTCCCAAATTCTGTGGTACAGTTTGAAAGCAACCAGTTGGCTGCGAATTCCCCAGTGGAAGACCGTCGAGGAGTAGCCTCCTGCCTGCAGACCAGTGGACTGATGTTTGGTATCTTTGATGGACATGGTGGTCATGCATGTGCACAAGCAGTGAGTGAGAGGCTCTTCTACTACGTGGCAGTGTCCCTGATGTCCCACCATACCCTGGAGCAGATGGAGGGAGCGATGGAAAATATGAAGCCTCTGTTGCCCATCCTACAGTGGCTTAAGCACCCAGGGGATAGTATTTACAAGGATGTCACCTCAGTGCATCTTGACCACCTCCGTGTCTATTGGCAGGAATTGCTTGACCTGCACATGGAAATGGGACTAAGCATTGAGGAAGCATTGATGTACTCTTTCCAGAGACTGGATTCTGATATCTCACTGGAAGTCCAGGCTCCCTTGGAAGATGAGGTGACAAGGAATCTGTCACTCCAGGTTGCTTTTTCTGGGGCAACAGCTTGCATGGCTCATGTCAGTGGAGTTCACTTGCATGTGGCAAATGCTGGTGACTGCCGGGCCATCCTTGGTGTCCAGGAGGACAATGGCATATGGTCTTGTCTACCTCTTACGCATGACCACAATGCCTGGAATGAGGCTGAGCTCTCCCGGCTTAAGAGGGAGCACCCTGAGTCAGAGGACAGGACGATCATCATGGATGACAGGCTGCTGGGTGTCCTTATGCCCTGTAGGGCCTTTGGAGATGTCCAGCTGAAGTGGAGTAAAGAGCTGCAGCGTAGTGTCCTAGAGAGAGGCTTTGACACTGAGGCCCTCAACATTTACCAGTTCACCCCATCACACTACTATACTCCACCCTACCTAACTGCCAAGCCTGAGATTACATACCACAGGCTGAGGCCCCAGGATAAATTCCTTGTGCTAGCTTCAGATGGGCTGTGGGACATGTTAGGGAATGAAGATGTTGTGAGGCTGGTAGTGGGATATCTGTCTGAGGCAGGTCGCCGTAAGCCAGACCTGGCCCAAAGACCTACCAATCTGGGACTTATGCAGAGTCTACTACTGCAGAGGAAAGCCAGCGGGCTCCATGCAGCTGATCAAAATGCAGCCACACATCTGATCAGACATGCCATTGGAAGCAACGAATATGGGGAAATGGAACCAGAGCGGCTGGCAGCAATGCTGACATTGCCGGAGGACTTGGCAAGGATGTACAGGGATGATATCACTGTCACTGTAGTGTATTTTAACTCAGAGACAATTGATGCATATTACAAGGGCGATTAGGAGTGAGCTACTGAAGCCTACCTGTTAAAAGGACAGGCAGATAGACATAGCTTGCTGAATAATTCACTAATAGAAGAAAACAAAAAAGCTTAGGTTTAAAAGCAGTAACAGTGACTTTATGTTCTTGTGTGTACTGGTCAACTTTTTAGTGCAGCACAGAGGATATAAAGTCCATAGAATTGGCTTGGGCTCATATAGCCTAAATCCTTTATAAAGACACTTGAACTGTGTCATCTGGAGCTTTTAAAGGGTAAATTTAATCATGATCCTAAGAATAAAGAACTTCAGGATCTTCTGAGGTCCAGCTGCAAAAGTCTGCAAATCTGATAATTCTGAATTTACAGTCATGCACTTCTAGATTATAAAGTTTTGTTTTGCTTTTTTTAATTACTAAGGCCTAGGTTTACAAAGAATACTACAGGATACTTTTCTATGCAACATGTTTAACTTTTTTTGTGAATATTCTTGTGAAGACATTCTGTAAAACTGTGTTCTAGGTCTGTTTTAATTCATTTAAAAACGGAATCCTTGGGTTGGACATGTAGCTCAGTGGTAGAGGGCTTTCCTAGCCTGTGCAAGATCCTGGGTTTGATCCCCAGCATCACAAAGACCAAACAAACTCAATTCTCACATTTGCGAACAGGCCTTTAAACATGTTTGGGACAACTTGTTTTTCAGCTGAGGGTGAGACGGTCTAGGTCTCTGGACCAGCGAATTTACTTATGCAACATTTGGCCCCTCCACTGAGTCCCACCCATAAAACTTTGAGCCACAGTAGGGAGAAATTTATGTCTAATTCTTAACTCCTGGCCTTTCTTGTTGCCGCTGGGGGGTTAGTCATCATTTTTTTTTAGGCTTTCTGATTATATCTTTCAAACATTCTTCTATGATTTCCTTCTGACATAATCTTTCTACCTCTGCTATCCTGTCTAACCTTACCCTGAAGCTGCTAACAATGCAATACTAGTATCTGAGTCCTTTACCTACTCCTTCTTCAAATGGTTGCGGGAAAGAGGACAGTGTGATCACATGTGGTTATGATGGACATTTAGGCAGCACAGGCTCCTTCAGTGGTTTGTGGACTTAAAATCCAGCCTGAACCTGGAGAGGTAAAAACTTGACGGATCTAAGGAGATCAGCCAGTAACTGAGGTTCTGTCTCATCCTGTGAGGCAGGGGACAGATGAGAGGATGAGAATTATCAGATGGGACACCTGCCTGCAACTGTGATAAATTGCCATTGCTACTCCTCAGGAATTAGACCATATATAGTATAGGAGTTGAGGCAAAAATAAAAACATAGCTTGTAATGGTTTCCATGGGTTGCAGAGTCTTTGTATTTACTTAAAAATTAACCCACATGGATCCTTTTTGGGGGATGAATTTTCTCTTCTCATGAGCGGCTATGGCATCTGAACAACAGGAAATGAGTCCCTAAATGGAAGCACAAATATAATCCCCAAGCCCACAGATTTAGTTTCCTGTGCCAAATCAAGCAGAATTCTTCAGTATAATTGAACTACCTTAGTTGATCTTCTGCTCTCACCCCCTCATACCATCCACTGGAAAGAAGAAGCAAGTAACTACATTTGGCTTCCTTATTTTTATCTGTTCCAGATGAAATTCAGTCAAGAGTTGGGATATGTCTATATTGGAGATGTTTCTTTGTACATTTTCCAGTTTACCTGTTTAGTGACCTGGCTTCATTTAAGAAATTTCTCTTTGGGAGCTGGGTGTGGTGGCACAGGCCTGTAATCCCAGCACTCTGGGATTAAGGCCAAGGCAGATTTCAAGTTCAAGGCCAGTGTGGGCTGCATAGCAAGACCCTGTCTCAAGAAAACGAAATAAAACAAAACAAAATCTCTTGAGTACTTAAATAAATCCTGGTCCATTTATTCTGTAATCGTTACTATTCCTTCTGATCTCTTAGACTTTAGCTCAGAATGTGAATTACTACCATTCTCTTAAAGGTTTAGCATAAAGATTTGCTGCTGAAACCAAGGGACTCTACTTGACAACATTTTCTGTTCTTCTGTTTTTTGTGCCAACTAAACCCTGGAGTACCCTTGGAGCCTGGCATGGGTCATAAATGTACGCAGTTCAGTAACCTGTGCGGCAGCTAAGAGAACAGTCTTCCCACCTGTGTGTGCAAGCACATCTGTTTTTTTTCTCTGCTAATAGATTTTCCTGCTTTCTAGTTGGTATATTGAGAGAGAAGAAAGGCTTGTTTGTTGTCTGCCTTTTTTCTGCATGAACTCTCAGCTCTTCTCATGAATGCTCCAGAGAACATCACTTTCTGGTTAAATTCCAGCTGTCTTTCCCTAACTGCTTCTTGTCAGTGGCTTTCCTGGAGCACGTGGCTACTGCTCAGGACACTGCAATTGCAAAGAAGGTTAGTGGTCTTTGTCAGATCTTCCAAAGCATTCATCATTACTTTTATATAGCGATTTCAATTTTGAGACTTTTTAAATTGAGTTTTTAAAATGAGATCAGCCATTTAATATTGTAGATATAACTTTTGAAGTAAGTGTGCTTTGGTGCTTAAGATTATGTATTTATGATTTTAGGTAAGACTCTTTGATAATATTGGTAAAATTTAGATACTGTTTTATATATAAATAATACAGCTCTGGTATTCTAGATGGTATTCTAATTTTAAATTGTCAAGTTGCTGAGATTCGGCTTTCTGAGATGTTTGTAACATAAAATCTAATTTATTATAATTAAAATGTAAGTTTGAAGTATGTTAATATATAAGCATTTTCCCCAGTATACGTGGCCTAAAACATCTCTAATATTAGGCACATGGGGTAAATTTTGGTTGGGACATGATCCAGTTGGGATCTTTTAAAGATAAATGAAATATAAACAACTTGAGAATTTGTTAAAGAAGAGTATAACTATGTGGAACAGAAAAAAAAATTGTTCAGAATGAGTCTGGCTAAACTCATGTCCATCGGTCCTGTCTTCATTTGACAGCTTCGGGAAAGCCTTAACTTCCTATGTTAACCAGAATATCCTGGAACTGAGCCATCCTAGCCTCATTGTAAAATGGTTTGTTTGTCTCTGAAATGTGACTCTTGTGGCACAAAATGCACTGAGTACCCTTGGAGCTGGAGATCCAGGCTGGTGTCAGAGCTAGTGACGCAAGCTGCGATGTGCGTGACCTAAGGGGAATGCATGTTCGGGCTACTGCATAACCACCCCTGAGCTGACTGGGGCTCTGACCTTGCCTTCTTGGGCACCTGCTGTCTAACTTGCCTTCTGGAAAATACTTATCAAGCATTTTCTTGGAATAATTATTAACCGTGTTCTTTAATAATTACTGGCATTTGTGTTTTAAACTGCATACCAGTGTTCGTAATTGATCCTGATTTTCTGTTAGAGATATTTAAAACTTGTAAATAAAAGAAGAAAAATGAAATTTGGTTTTCTTTGGTTTGGATACTAATTTTTCTAGCCCTTAGGACACTAGATTGGGCCAACTTTTATTTCACTCCATTTATCTGGCCAAGTCTAAGAGACTCAGTCTAAGACACCACCCAAAGAGACACCACCCAAAAGAGAAGGTAATGCTCTACAAATTTTGGGGGGCTGCTGAGCACACAGGAAGCCCTCATTTTTGTTAACCATGTGTGTGGGGGCCTGAGAAAAAGGAAAAGGAAGTGAAGGCTTTTGATGTGAGGGTCTGCACAGTCAGAGCCAAGGCCTGCTGGAGTTTCATATTGTTTAACTGAACTTTTAAAACCAACTTGTAAAACTAGTATTTGTGTCAGTAGTAAATGCAGAGCCAGCTTTGGGCAAAAGGTCTTGAGATGTACCTCAGTAGAACTGAAAACTCCACTCCAGCTACCCCCACTGACTAGTGAGTCTCATTGTGCGTAGGGGGAATAGCTCAGTTATAAGGACTGTTGCAGTGTTTTTGTTTTTAATGGAGACCCAGCCTAATAACCAACCAGTCAACCAAGCAAACAAATAAATTACTGGGGATGTAGCTCAATGTGAAGGCCCTGGGTTTAATCCTGGGTACTGAAAA